AGGGAAAGCCCTTAATCAGGGACGCATGTATCTCGTCTCGCTGGTGTCCTTCTTCTCCGCTCTTGGAATCGAGGGTTATCCGTTTTTCGGCGTGGTAACTTCGGGCAAACAGGGGGCCGTTCTGATGGCTTGGAAGTCAATTGTAACAGATGTAGGTGCGTCCCCTTTGCATGTTGGCTAATGCTGAACTATTTGCAGCGGACCTACCTGATAGAGCGTAATGTTAGAAAATTCGACATCTCAATCCCGATCCAAGCGTTCCATTTCGCCACATTCCTCCTACGCCTTCGGGATGACCAAGAGAAGCTGAAAAGGCTTGTCCTGGCAAAGCTTAAAGACGTGGATTCGAAGCGGGTGGGCGACTGGACGAAATTCGCGCAGGTGGGCCCGGACGCAGAAGCCGAAGCGGAGGCAGCGTGATATCAGATACTCTCACGTCCCGTGTCGACATGTGCCTATATCTTTCTCATCCGCACTGAATATATCTATGTCGTTACGGAGGAGAAAGAGGACGACCATAGATACCATCTGCTTTTTTATTGCTGAACCTTTAGGTTTGGCTACTCTGGGGAACTTGGGTTTGGGCCATTTTGTCCACATGTACAAACAACATTTAGTCATCCAGCATCAGTCATTGTAAAGAAAATTTGGCAGTAGAACGACGGAAAACAGAATGGTAGCCGTAATTTTCGCAGAGTGTTAAATGAGATATATTCCTGCCAGATAGAGCTGTACAGGTCATTTTCAGCCCAGTGGGCGGAGCAATCTTCTAAGTTCGATCAGTAGTCATGCACTAGTCATGAGTCATCTCTGCTTTGTGCCTCGGTTAGGCATCCGTGATGAGTCATTTCCGCTGCATAAGCTCGGCGTCCCGGAATGTTCAATGCGGTGATTTCCGGTAAATGTTGAAATCACCCACTTCAACCGCGGCGCAGCCCGGAGCTCAAAGCATACCCCGAACCCCATACAGTAGTAGTCAATAGTTAACCACGAAGCGAAGTAATCAGCCGCGCATTCTGAGCTCAGTTTTTCGCTTGACACTGATATCACCTCTTGTTCTAGACCAGTGCACGAGTCCGCGTCGAGTCACAGCAGAGTCACAGCATCATAATACGGCACATCACTTGGATATTCACACGACTACTTTAAAAGGGAATATGATCATATCCGTGGATATGGATATGGGCTACCGAACAGGCTCTTACTCTTGTGAGATTATGTCTTGTCCTCGTGAGGAACGAGTCAAATTGTTGGACGACCACGAGTTGACCAATAACGAAGAAACGAAATGGTTTACCCAAAAATGCTTGAACTCGCGGAATTCGCGCAATACAACCGGCCTTCAAGCCTGTGGCGTACATGTTCTAACCCACCAGTGCCTTCTGCTCCTTCTGCTCCGAGCGTAGAGATTACAGTGACTAATTGACGTACTGAATCGCACCAAGTGATGGTTAAGACTCAGTAAATTACCTGTAGAGATCACAGTAACTAATCAACTCGAACGTCTATAGGTAATGCAAGTAAGTGTCTGCAGATACATAGAAATGGAGACATACCCTCAGTCGCACCATGTGACGGCTAAGACTGAGGGTTAGAAGAGTGGATCCGCACCCTTATATGTGGTGCGGATGTGATCGACGTCTAAAGTAAAATAAATCATGAGACACCGTAAAGGGGTATCGCCGGACGTCACGAAGGGATGTCCATCCTTAACACCAAGAAAACTGTTTAGATATGTTGAAAGATCTGTGACTCCTTTATCCAAGCAATTGGCTAAATAAACCCCAGAACAAAATTCCTCCATGCAGACGCTGCAGCCGCTCTTTGGCAGATTCCGTTGGATACGGGCAGGATGGGGGCATGCAATACTAGGGTCCATGCGCGACCCGAGGAATAGGTTAAGCGAATGAGCAACGGCCGTTTCGTTACGTTCCCGGTTAAGTCTTGTTTGTGAAGTTTCTACCGCTGGGCTAATTTTCGGGCGGGCTGCGAGCCAGACTTTAACTGCAAATGGCATCTACCATTGAGCCATAACAGGAGCAACATCAGAGCCCGTGTTGCAGTTAACTATATTATTTACCTCCGGTAGAAGAAATAGTATTCCGATAGAACACCTATAAGTCGCCTGGCCCATCTACCAGCGAGAGACTCAAGAGAGACTGCAACACAAGTCATGGGAACTGAGTAAATAGACCATGCAGCTTTGCACTATGAGTATTTGTCCTTCCTCTTTTTTCCGAGGCAAGTTGAAAACGAGTCCGTGGATCAGTCAGGTCATATTGGAGGCAGTCGTTGCAATTGAGTATATGAATTCAAGGGCCCATCTGTTCTGAATTTTTTTCATCGATGCCAGACCAAATTGCAATTTCGCACTGCTTGAGAGACATAGAAGCCTTCGGCAGTGCGATAAAACTTGAACCTAAAGGTACAGCACCCGCCTCGAAGAGGCCAAATCCAAGTCATCTATCTTAATTCTGATAGCAGAGGTACAGTGTTAATCTCGTACCACGATCATCCGACCGATTCCAACTCCCGATTCCAAGAGCGATTACAGTGCATAATCCATGTCGTCAAGGACTACACATGGCACTGATTACTGCTTTCCTCTCCCCGACTAATCGACATCTAGCTCTCGTATCCAGACCAACCCCCGCGAGATGCCTCATCAACCGCTTCCTGCACCCTCTTCGCATCAATCAGGCTCTTAACGAAGAGACGAACAATGAGGAGGATCTGCGAGAGGGGGTGCTGGATCGTTGCCCGGGTCGCGCAAGCGTAGCTACATAGCTGGTTGTTGTAATATATTCAGCATTGAATTTCCATCTTTTTTGGTAGTGAAAGTCAACGCGAATCAACCTGAATCTGATACCTCGTACAGCAGCTTTCCCGGCATTTTTGAGCTGGCAGTCAGTATGGCGGTCATCATGCACTTTTATTATTTGCCGAAAAAACGAGTGTTAGTTCACAAAAATCTGCTTGATTCCCCCAAATGTTCAATGTTCAAACACTTCCAGTTAGAGCAACTTTCCAAAAAATTTGACTGGACTTTTTTTCCAAAAATGCATCAAGTTCAAAAACTTCAAAAAATCTCTGTCTTCGTTCAACAGAAAGACATAGATCCTGATGGACGTTGGCCGGAGAGAGCGAAGCCGAAATAACCGGAGCTCGCAGGCGACGGGGGAGGGGAGAGGAAGGAGATGCCGACTGCGCCCGAGGCATTGAAAACGAACGTGTTAGAACCGGCGTCGGAAACGAAGGCGTTGGAATCGGAGACTTTGAAACCAAGCAGCTCAAAGCCTCGCAAAGCCAGGGGATATTCAGCACCTGCGCGCGCACAAGGCGAGGGAAAAAGAATCGAGGGTGATTAGCAGCAAAGATAGTTACAATGTTATGGTATAGCGAGTAGCTTGCAAGACAGCGGAAAGCTGGCGAGATTGTCCTTCAGCGTCCAAATAAGAGCTCGTGAATATGGCGGTCAAGGAGACTGGGCAAACAAAGGGACATAAATTGAACATGTAGAGTACGGAGTTTGAAGGTGAAGGCATCTCATCTGCTTGGACTTTGTCAATAATTGCAAGTTTCAGCAGTTAGCAGTTAGCACTTAGTACTCACTCGAAATCGATTCCCCGAGTCAAATTGCACTTTCTCAATATATTTCGCGAGGAAATCGGACGTGCCATCAAAGTTATCCTCCCGTCGCTGCCGTCACAAATGCAACACCCAAAGCCACAACAGCCGTTGTCCATTTCAACGACGCCCCACCCCGCAGTGTCATAGCAGCGCTTTGCGCAACGACACAGTCAAATCCGTCGACTTGTCCCTTCACGCAATCCAGAAACGCCGGGAACTTGTCCGGGAGGATGGGACACCCACAGGTGCCATTGACAAAGGCCCCTGTGCTGTTTACGCGAGGGCAGCAGATCTGTAGGGTGCTTGGAGCCCCGACGATGCAGCCTACAATTGTCGATCAATTATCTTGTTGTCAGAGGTGGAATCGAATTCAAGGATGGACACTGCACACCGGTAAAGGAACTCTTGGCTAACCCCGGGGAGATTTTATCGAGGCCGGGGAAGTCGCTGGGAACGCAGCCAGAGGGCAGTGGGACTGCAGTTGAGGAAACCGCGGGTGTGATGGAGGAGCCATTTGCAGACGTTGGTGAAGCCGTGGCAGGGAAGCAGCTGGATGGAACGACGGAGGTGGCACAGCTAGAGAGGGCGAGCACTGAGGTTTGTGAGTGCGTGGGGGTGGTCATGGGCGTAACTGCGTACGGTGGGGGTCGAATGCGGCACGTTGTTATAAGGCAACCTGCCGAAACCCAGTCAATTCTACAACATGCGAGGTACGAGCACAAAATTGTTGTAGTGTCTGTTTAGAAGAGACTAAGTCAATTCAGTGATCAAGATCAAGATGTGGGGCGAGATACTGACGAGATATACTTGTTTCACGCCGCAATACGCCGCATTTTAGCGCCCAAAGTTAGCCATTACGAAAGGCAGGCATTCCGCGAACGAGCCTGCCTCATAGACTCTAAGCACGGTCGCCATTAAGTTCAATTCAAAGCGAAAGTCGCTCTTACAGCCGAAGTACCCGCAGAGAATTCGGTGTTGAAGTAGCAGGACACACTCATGGGCCAGTCACGCTTGTTGTGAGAACAATTGTTGAAACGAGTCGCGCAATCTCAGCTTCACCTGGACCGCAACATTGAGGTCATAACACTGTAAAAGATTTCTCCTTCGACCATGGTGGCCTAGTCAATCAAGCTTCTGCATGCGTTGACTGAGGTGGGGGGGGGGGGGGGGGGGGGGGTTATTATACTCGCGTGGTCCACAACATGAACAACGAGTCTACCGAAGACAAACATGAAGTACTGTACGGGTGTTTATCCTTACAGAAATCTCCAAGATGCCAACGGAGGTGAGACTATCACATCTCCTTCAACATAACATTGAAGCGAGGCACGAGGTTATGTGCTGGTGCGAAAGGCAAAACAAAACGAAAGGGCCCTAACCCGGAATTGAACCGGGGACCTCCTCGAGATAGAAGCTGACGCCCTAACAAGGAATCATACTACTAGACCATCAGGGCTCTGGAAGATCTCACCCGTAGCATTACCCCTGCCCGGGGCGCATCCCCGACGGAAAATTTCACACATTTTGATGTGCCATTGACATGCAATCAATCGCTCTTCACTCTGCTTCTCCCATCTTCTCCCGCCATGGAATTAGTGGCTCCACCGACCCTGACTGATTCAGCCCGGATTCTGCTAGCTGGTCTTCGCTCGCCTATGCAGCACGAAACTGGGTGTGTCTTTGCGATGTTCCGGGCCTGTTGTCTCCTGGGTGGCGCGGGAATCAAACCATCCTCTGAGCTCATCCGTGCAGCGATGCAATTCCTACTTAGCTGTAGGACGCCCGAAGCGCACCGCGCTTTAGTGGAGCAGTTAACCTCCTGCGGCTGCGAGATTATAGACGAGCGGATAACCCCACCCGCAACACTACAGCCGCTGGAGTGCCTCGACCTGTTTCTTGGGCACCTTTGCGTCATCATCGCAGATGAACTCCGGAGCCTTAGGCCTGCGAAATTTCGCACTTGCAAGCCTAACCGATCCGCACGCCGCCAGCCATGGCCTAACTGTGTCGCAGATATTGGACTGCAAAACAGCTCTTGTCGCCACCTCATAGACACGCTGCTCCGATGGACATCGCCCGCCCCATTGGGATCTCAAATCTTCACCTTGCTAAATGCACTGGCACGGTTTTGGAATCCGATCGGCAAAGAAATCTTTGTTTCTGCTCACGTTGTGCAGCACATGCGTCGAACGCTCATCGCCGCGATACAATCTCACGTAATCCCTGTTCCCCCACGGTCGCCCGACTTTTTCCGGCGGGCCGTCGCTGCATGTCACAAATTAGGCACGGGGCTCCTCTACGTCGACACCGAGTTCCACTCCAATCACCCTTACTGGCGAAATGGGTTATGCGACGTTGCAGCTCTCATCGTGCCGAAGCTGGCTGAGCATGCTCCACATCTCGACGAACAGCGCAAGTGGTTCTCCGCCATGCTGGCCGACACGGGTTACCTAGTTCCCGGTACATTGTTCACTCAGTTGGAGGATGTGAAGGCAGTAGGAAAGAACGATGATTACTTCCAGGCGTACTTCGAGATGATGCTGAGCGTGTTGCGTCGTACATGCATGCATATCGACTGCCCCAGCCCTCCTGGCACCCCTGTCGTGACGACCCTCTGCGCGCGGTGCGGCGTCGTCAACTACTGCAGTGCTCAGGTGAGCAACGATCATTTTATGACCATGCGCCGTGAGGACTAACCCCGCCCTAGTGTCAAAGAGCCGCCTGGAACGCCGATAAGTGTCCGCACAAGGACATCTGCACAATAATCTCCCGCCTCCGGGAGCGCATCGATCTTGAGCACCCGCCACGTAGCACCGCACTCCAGAACGCTGCAGGGGAAGAGGCATACAAACAGGCCGCGCGGCTCGCAAACGAAGCATGGCGCAAATGGCTGATGCGGACGAAGCCGCAGGATGCGCGAGCCCTGCTACGCGAGAAAGGAATCTTGCCGCGCACCTGTCGCGCTATCTGGCTGTACCTCCTCCGACTCACCTATGAGAAGGGGATGGCCAAGCACTGGCGGAGTGTGTGGTGCAGGCGACCATTCGTACGTCGTTTTCTTGTACTGCAGGATGACCCACACGTTTCTGACACCCTCCGCCACAGGTGAGCGAATTCGCCACAGCGGATATCGAAGAGTTCGGGGACCCTGGCACGGAAGTCTGCGCCTTGTAACGTCTTCTACACACTTCCCTGTTCCCAGCTGGGTCTCAACACACAAAACTAGTCACGCGCTACTTGACTGAAATCATCGAACAACATTCGCACTCCAGCGTCTCGGAGTGCGTGATATCATCCTGTATGTACTTCGGTCACTTTAAAGTTTGAAATCAACAAACTCGAACAGTCAGTCTCAATTGAGCTCGAAGCCCATCTGTTGCGCAGCCCTTCTCATTCGAAATATATACTAGTCCCAGTTCTCAAGCATTTTTGAATCCACCGGAATGGAAGTTTTCTACCCGCCAGTCAGCATGCACGCACGCAAGTCATTAGTCTGAGAGAGCTCAATGCTGTCGAAAGTTGTATGCCGCTACCTTCCGCGTCCCTTTTGCTCTCGCTTTTTCTCTCGGGCAACTCTCGGGCCGAGATAATTTGGCAGGTTCATTCTAGCTGCGCAAAATGATCAAGCTATCTTGAAATCACTTATGTGTGGACAGCTTGATGAATCCGGCGCTTACCTCCCTTCCCCACTAACATGTACTCGGCCACGGAAAACGATCCAGACAATGGATGGCCCTCCACCTCTCATCCTGGTTGCTTGTCGTGCGTGACCGTGACGCTCGCTGCGCCGAACAGACTCCGGCTTGATACGATACGATAGGAGCTGGATGTTCGCAGGCGCTCAGCGCTTCACGGTGACTGGCACGACGTTGGCTAATATCGTGAAGAATTACACTACTACTGCGACTGAACCTTCTCTGTAAAGGTTCCAACTTTCCTTCGATCCTCTGCTGAACGATTTTCTCAAGCATTCGTATGGTTCCGATGGAAAGCATTGGTTTATTGCGCGAAATAAGCCTTCGCAACTTCCGGATCGTTGATCGACCATCCGAACAAAGGCATGTTCGAAGGGTTTATTCAGCGACGGTGGAAGGCGAAAGGTCCGATACCACAGTCGCAGTATATGAGGGAAGTGGTGCAGAGCAAGTGCGTTGGAGGCTCTTATCCGCAGCCGCAAGCCGATGTAACTTTCGTAGGAATGGCGACGGGACATTGCCAGATATACTTCGGGTCGGTAATAATGTAAGTACTTCAGTATTCTGTCAGGGTATTTTTTTATGAAATTGGCTACATAGACATCCATACATCTTTCAAATTCGTGGAGCAGCGAGCTTGGGGGGCATTCGCGCCACCATCTCCCACGACGGTGCAGCAGTGCTGTACAAAATGAAAGATTGTCAATTCCTTTGCCTTAGAATTGGTACCGTTCGAGCATTTTCTGGCCCTCTATCATCATTTGCCAGTCCTAACGATATATACGCACCTCCTTCGTGAGGGATTTTACTCTTTCCAGGGTTGGTGTTCATCTTTCGGCAGGCCACCGAGTACCGTGTATCGAGGTTCGCCCCCATTTACGGCCTTCGGACGCACTTGTTACAGGAGGCTGTGATGTATCTATACGAAGCTTTCCCGGATTATATGGACAACATCGACGATTCGGCCTTTTGGGTTCGCCGCTCAACGGGCCATCTTTGTGTGGATCTTGTGTCCACCGGCGCCCCTCTACGCTATCTCGCTTGTATCTACTTACCGATTATCAACCCTGGAAGGATCCCGTCTCTTGATGCACCCGACGCCGAGGCCAGGGCCATTGAATCACTAGCACTGAAGCAGTGTCGGCAATTGCGTAACCAGCGCTGTCTCGACGATGCAGCTTCAACGCCCCTCTGGGACGGATTGTGAATCTCGGTGCAGTCGTGATTCTCTACCCCAGAGGCAATCCACCGCAAGACTTCGTGGAGTTTGCCGAACCGCCACATGCATATGAGGTATCTAGTCTTACCCCGTCTCACTGGCGGCTCGGTAGAGTATTGGAAGAGTAGGAGGTTGTGCATAATGGCTGGACTCGGTATTTCTTTTTCTTGGCACAAGGCATCATATATGCCCTTCCTCTGAAATTTCGCAAGTTACAGCTCGGACGACGGGGACATATTTGACAACAATCTAGTGCTTCGAAGCTCTCAGCACTGGTTCTGGGACACTTGGCTCAGTCAGGCAAACAATATCTTCTGTTCTCTGGGGATAACATCAGATTTGGGGAATTGCCGTATGCTCGCCAATGCCATTGGTCTCATTCCCTCTGAATAGTCCATGTGACAGCAGTTAGCTTCCAGCTCACAATCCCAGCCGCGACATCGGATCCACCTCCAGGCTTTCTCTTCGTCTGCCCGAAAGAAAATTTTCAACCAGACTTTTGCCACTCAGGCTGGCCACTGGCAGCATATGTGCATTGTGGCATGTCCAGCGGGAATTCCAAGCTGAAGGGAATCCGCATGCCAGTACTTAGAAAGCCACTTTTTTCTGCATTTGTTCGCTATATTCGCGTCTTTTCTTGGCCCTCTCTCGGTTGTTTTCAACCAAAGCTGTATCGGCTTGTTATCGGTACTTAATGTGTTTGTTTTACGGGGATTCTGGAGTAATATGCCCGGATGAGCACCGGTCGCTGGCGGTTGTTGGCTGCTGTCGGGTACCACCGGTGACCGGCGATCACCACCAGTCATTGATGATTAGATAGCGGTTTTGTACATGTTTCAATCGACCCCTATGAACTCCGGTGGCTGCTGGTGGTCTCGTCGCGAAAACCGTCGGTTTTCTGAGGCTGCAATTTCAAAAACTGGGCAATGGCGTGATCTCTGACTCTTGACGGTCGCCAACGGTTCCCGCCGGTTTTCCCCAGCTCTCAACACAATGTCTGCCGCCGCCCCTGCTCCTGCTGTCAACTCTGGGCCTTTCAAAGGTGTCATCGACATGAAGCGTTCCAAACCCGAGCTGGAAGCCATCGCCATTGCCCTCAACATCCCTACCGTGGATGGGAAAAAAAAGAAGCTCAACAAGGACCAGCTCGTCCCTCTCATTGTGAAGCGCCTATTCACAGATGAGCCGTCCTTGCAGAACGATCCCACCTTCTCCGCCCTCTATGGGAAAACGACGGGAGGGAAAGGAGGTGCAAAGAAGACGAGCGCGGAAAAAAAACGAAGAAGTCGCACATGAGCAGTCTAAGCCTGCCCAAGCTTTGACCGGGTATCTTTTTAATGCATTGTCTCTTTCTATATGTCTTATATGTTTTGCCAGTGCCAATCTCAAGCTGCATGAGAAGAAGGTCGCCATGGACCCGCCTGCTAGCTTTGGACGGGTGGGACTATCCTTGCAAGGCAACAGTGAGTTTCTGCGTCTCCTCTCCTTCTCTCTCTCATTGTTTGTAGCCAAGAAAGCCAATGAGAAAGGCGCTCTGCCATC